ACAAAAATGAAACTCACGCCCGGCGCCAATGAGTCGTATCCGTCAATGTTGGTGCCCCGCGTCTGGGCTAATCCGCGCAGATTCAATTTCGACAACATCGGTGATGCGATGCTGACGTTATTCGAAGTGCTCTCCTTCAAGGGTTGGTTGGATGTGCGAGACGTGTTGATTAAAGCTGTTGGACCGGTGGGTACAAAATTAAAGTTATAGTTTTCCCAGCTAGAGCAGCTAGAATTTGTGTGTTCTCTTCTCTTTCAGATACATGCCATCTATATACACATCTATATTTTCTTGGGTTGCATGATTGGACTGACCTTGTTTGTGGGTGTGGTGATCGCTAACTACTCGGAGAACAAAGGTACCGCTCTCTTGACAGTCGATCAGCGTCGTTGGTGCGATCTGAAGAAGCGTTTGAAAATTGCGCAACCTCTGCATTTACCACCGCGTCCTGATGGCAGAAAGTTCCGTGCATTTACCTATGATATAACGCAGAATATAATTTTCAAGCGTATTATAGCGGTAGTGGTGCTGATCAATAGCATGTTGCTATCTATTACGGTAAGGCGGGTGTTTGCCAAAAGTGATAAAATGATGAGAAGACACCGAATCAATTCTTTACGTTTGTTTGCAGTGGATCAAGGGTGAAGTGCATACTGAACGTTTAGTGATCGTCAGCGCTGTGCTGAATTTCGTGTTTGTCATTGAAGTGGTTATGAAGAATATAGCGTTCACTCCACGCGGCTACTGGCAATCGCGACGAAATCGCTATGACCTACTGGTCACAGTGGCTGGCGTTGTTTGGATATTCTTGCAAACTATATTAAGGGTAGGCTGTAATTATCTTCCATAAAAAAAAACGTACAAGATAATTAATTAATTATTTTCCAACTCTTTTCAACAGAATGATCTGTCATATTTCTTCGGTTTTATGGTGGTAATTTTACGTTTCTTCACCATTACTGGCAAACACACCACACTCAAAATGCTTATGCTAACAGTGGGCGTGTCCGTTTGCAAATCATTTTTCATCATATTCGGCATGTTTTTGCTGGTGTTCTTCTATGCTTTAGCTGGCACTATCCTCTTCGGTACTGTCAAGTATGGTGAGGGTATTGGAAGGCGTGCAAATTTCGGTTCACCCGTCACAGGAGTGGCTATGTTGTTTCGCATTGTTACCGGAGAGGATTGGAATAAGATTATGCATGACTGCATGGTGCAGCCGCCATATTGTACACCGGGAAACAATTACTGGGAAACCGATTGTGGTAAGTAAATACAGTGAGGTCTCAAAATAACGAATCTTGGTATAACAGTAAACTTAATATGATGTAATTTTCCCTTAGTTCGCTGAAAAAAAAGAACACCTTATGCTCTTTCGGCCATGACTATGTTGTTATTTAAAAAGTTGACTTGAATTTGAAATTTCGTTAATACATTGAGCCTATAAACAGCATTAATTTGATTACTTAATTTTCAGGCAATTTTACCGCCAGTTTAGTTTACTTCTGCACGTTCTACGTCATAATTACCTATATTGTGCTAAATTTGCTAGTGGGTGTGTACAACGGTGTCGATAAAATATGCAATTAAGTACTGTCTATTCATATCCATACATATTTTTTTCGCACAGCTATTATCATGGAGAACTTTTCATTGTTCTATTCAAATGAGGAGGATGCGCTGCTTTCCTATGCTGACATACGCAATTTTCAGAACACATGGAATATAGTGGATATACATCAACGTGGCGTCATACCGGTACGACGTGTAAAATTTATACTGCGTCTCTTAAAAGGACGACTGGAGTGTGATCCACAAAAGGACCGATTGCTTTTCAAGTACATGTGCTATGAGCTGGACAAGCTGCATAATGGCGAAGATGTGACATTTCACGATGTAATCAAGTAAGTGTACAAATAGTATATCGTACATACATATTTACATATGTATGTACATTAGGGTGCATCACTAAACAAGTTTCAATTCGTCCACCGGAATTATAAAATTTATTATATTTTAAGATTTCCGCCAATATATTACAGTGGGTGCATCACTCTTCCATTTTTTCCATTTATTATATTTTAATGGCCTTATTCGTAAAAAATTAAATACGGTTAAAAAAATTTATAAATTTTATTATAAATATTTTTTAAAATCTAACTTTGTTTATAAAAAAAACTCCTTTTTGGAGGTATTTCAAATAGGTCCAGCTCGCGTAAACCTTGATATTTTTCTGAAATAGTTTGGCGGAAGTCTTAAAAGAGGATACGTTTTCTATTTCCGATGGAAAAACAGTACCTTTTTTTTTTTTTTGTGAAGAGTGTGTCACCCTACTATACGCACATTCAAATCTAATCTTCCTTTCTCGTTTTAGCATGTTATCCTATCGCTCAGTGGACATACGTAAGGCCTTACAGCTAGAGGAGTTACTGGCACGCGAAGAATTCGAATATTTAGTTGAGGAAGAGGTGGCTAAGATGACGATACGCACATGGTTGGAGGGTTGTTTGAAAAAGATACGCGCACAAAATGCAAGTGTAAGCTCTTAACTAATTGTTAAATTTAAACTCTGTTGATTCATCTACATATGTATGTATGTATGTACTTTTCTTGCCTTTAGAAGCAACAAAATTCTCTCATAGCCGGTTTGCGCGCCACTAATGAACAGCTTATGCTGCTTAAGGCTCCCGAAGATAAAACACCCACCACCGGTGGGGAAAAACCACCTGGCAGCGCCACTGCACCTTGCCCACCTACCAGTGATGCTTTTTCGCCCACCTTCAGTTCAACCGAGAACGAAGAGAAGGATGCCAGCGGCAGTGCCGCCATTTCAAGTACCGCCGATGCACATGGCGTACAACGTGTCATAAGTGCCACCAAGCGTGCCTATGCGCTAAATCGCTCCGATTCGACGGGTAGTTCAGCTGGTCGCAAATACTTGGCACCCACCACATCCGATCCACAACAACGCAGCACACTTACCGACAAGGAGCGCTTGCATATTAGTAGCCAGCAGAAGAAGAAAAATTCAATGACTGCAGTGCCCACACTGCCACCCGTTGTGGCAGCGAGCGGTGCTGTAATTAAACGCGATATAAATCGCACATCGGGTTATTTTGCTTCGACCAATAGCGATGGCAGTCAATTTCATTATCCACCGAATGTGACGAATCACTATGGAGAACAACATGGACCGCTGGGTAGTCCGTCGGCAATTATGGGGCACATAATTGCGGGTAGTAAACTATTACCTTTCAACAATCAAGCAAATGCGGTGTACGAGGTGCACGATTGGTGGCAAGAGCAGGTGATTTGCACGCTCTACAGCGATGATGAAGGTTAGGTTTTGTATTAAATTGTGAATTAAATAGTAGGAAAAAGTAAACAATCTAGGTATAAGTGCGATTAAAAAATTAGTAATTATAACATGGGATACTATGATTAGTAAATTAATGTGATTGATGTAAATGTTACATTTTACCGTTAAATTGTTGTCTTTGCCAAGCACAATGCCAAATTTACAGACACAAATTATAATATAGTCAATGATAGATAATATACAGTTATTGTTTCATGAGTTGGATACTTATAGACAATATTATAAGATAATATTTAATGTGTATTAAAACATACTTTGGTGTATTAACTTTGTAATAAAAATATGTTGAATAATTGGATTTATCTAGTTTTAATACCAGAAATAGTCAAAGGTGCCGCAAAGGGAAAAAGATATTCAAAAAATTTTAGAAATGTCTTCAAGATAGTAATAACTAGACTGCGTATGTTGATGCAGAAAACGAAGCCTAAAAAATATGCATCCCAAAAAATGTACACAAATTTATTTATTTAAGTGATATAGGCGGCCGCAGCTATCATTCCGCAGGGCCTGGGTTCAAGCCCGGTTCAACCCAACATCAAAAAATAAAAAAATATAAACAAAAAAGTTGTTTTCTTATAGCGGTCGCCCCTCGGCAGGCAATGGCAAACCTCCGAGTGTATTTCTGCCATGAAAAACAGCTTCTCATAAAAATACAATCGCCGTTCGGAGTCGGCGTAAAACTGTAGGTCCCTTTTGTGTGACAATGACAAGGCGCACGGCACAAATCGGAGAAGAAGCTCGGTCCAACCCTTACATATGTGTAAGCGCCAACCTATTATTATTATTAGGCATGTTTTATTCAACCATCACAAGCTAATAGCTAAATTTTGGTCAAATAAAACGAAATTAGCTTATTTCTATGTTCGATAATTTTGACAATTGTTTAACTGCAAAGAAAAAAATTTTTAAATATTCAAAGTCGTTTTATTTCGATTTTGTGCGAATAGCTCTGATCCAATATATTTTTCCTGTGCAATTCACTTAGTATACTGTATACTTTAAATTTAACTTTGTAAACAGGTGGTAACTCTCTTCAAGATATTTTCCATTATTATTATTATTATTTTATTTTCAAGCTACATCCCCTGTCGTCTGACACTCACATCGAGGTACATATTTAATTTTTTTAATTGCCTTAAATCAAGTTCAATGATTATGTAAACGGGTGGCAACGCTCCTACATGCAGTTTAGAAATAAATTTTTTTCAGGGCCATTTTGATTAATGCTCATATTGTAGTAATTCCTTTAACCTATCGTGTGCATCAAATTTATCTTTGTAAACAGGTGGTAACCCTGTTAAAAATATTTTCAAACTAAAACCTTTTTAAACCTTTTTCGTCCAACACCCGTATTGTTATTATATTAGCTACTTCCATTAATTTAACTTGAATTGATTTTTAAATCATATGGCAACCCTCCTACATGTAGTTTGGAAATTAAGTTACTTCGAAGTAATAAATTCTCAAGTTTCGTCCAATTTATATAAAGTTTGTACGCAATAATATTTCTATTGCTCTAAAGAACTTTAATTCCGAAAATGAAAGTTATATCTGGAAAACCTAAGTTACTAGAGTACTTCAAAGGCTCAAAAGTATCCACAAAATAAGCCAATATTTACCGTTGTTTCTACGACATAAACCGAATCGGTCACCTACAAAAATAAATCTGTCGGTAGGTTTGGAATTTTGTCTTTGAAACGCCACTGTTTTCTTTGAAATCGCTTCATTGGTTCTCATGCAATGAGCGTTTTTGTGAAGCTCTAAAAATTACAACTACAACATTTGAGCATGGCATCCATACCGAAACGCAAAGCAGAATATACACAATCAGACTTGTATGCATACTTGGTAGCATGTCAGTTCAGTATACACCATGCGACAAGTTGTTCAAACATCATTTCGTTGTAATCGTTGAAGTGAGCGAACATCGCGGCATATGGATCTACTTCTTCCCAGCAAACATTTAGAGGCACAAATTATTCATACTGGGCTCTTATTGCCCTCACATACGGCTCGTTATGGAGTCATATTTGTAGTTTTTTTTTTGGTGAATATACTAATACCGTTCCAATAAACAAATTGCAAAAGTTTCGGGGTGACTTTCCTTTAAGGCCTCTTCTCCGGCAACACAGAAGAAATGGTATATACCCTTGGGGCCCCTCTTCTCCGGCAACATGGAAAGGCTAAAGTCAGTCAGGCTAAAGCCTTCACTCAAAACAAGCGAAACTTTGCAGTTTTTTCCATTTTTGTAAAGCAGTCGGAAGTTGCATTTTTGCAAACGGCGGCTCATGACCTCTCTAAAATGGGGTATGGGAGGAACCGCGCCCCCTCTACCTACGCCCACGGCGCACACTACGTAAAGGAAAGTTGCCGAAAGTTTCTGTCATACACACATATGCATATATGTACATACACTAATAATTTTTTTCATTCATCATCCATCACATAAATCAAAAAGTGGATTTTGAATTTTTATAAGTTAAGACTTTTTTAATTTCAGCGACGATGTTTGTTATGTCTTTTTGCTTCTCAGGTGACGATATATGATATATGTATGTAGTTACATAAAGGTATTAAGGTAGGGCTCGACCCTATTAAGCTGGCATTTCAGGGTACTATTTTATATATATATATAAGGAAAATTTGAAAGTAAGGGGGGCTCGAGTACCCCCTGCCCCTACCTGGCTACGCCCATGCACCTATGCGATTCTGTCAAAACGAATCCGCACTGTTTGTGATGCTACAGACGTTACTGCTTCGAAAACGCAAGTACGCACACATCTG